ACACGTAACCGAGGGCATGTGCAGACAGTTCGTCAATCAGGGTGGTCTTCAGGTCCTCTGCGATCTCCTTACTATGCCTGGCCTCCCGTACGATTTTCCCGTATCTGCGGCCTGCGCTTCGCTTTGCAAGATCTTCGAGCAACTTGTCGGCTACCTCTCGCTCAATGACCTCCTGAAGCCTGTCCTCCAGGTGAGAACGAGCACGAAACCCTTGCATAGTTGCCGTGTATCTGTTACCAGAGTTCCTTTATGCTCATGTGCGTAGGTTTAAAGTCTATTTCCTTCCCAATGCTACTCACGAGAACAGTGTCATGACCGAGTTGCTTAGACGTCCGTATTTTGGTTCTGACTCAGTCAAGTATTATCTTGCTCGGAAGTTCAATTAGCGCAGGTGTTTTTGTCAGCCGGCCCACTGGCTGCGATGGTTGCTTACTAGATGGAAGTTTGTAATGTTCTCGTTCCCCGATTGCTGCAGACATTTGCGCAATCACATCTCAGACTCTGTATTCATTACTTTCCCTAACGTGTCGTAATGCTTGCGCTTTACGCGCCTTATCTCACCAATGCGCTGATTACACTCGTTAGATAATCAAATTAGTACCAGTTAATCGTGCGTACGAGTGTGTACCTGCCTCTGCAAGTTATGCATGTGATTTGCTCACGGGTATGTCGCGGTCTTCTGCTGCCTTCTTACCCTCCCCCCCACAATTTCCCGCTTGTTTTGCAACGGTCTGATGGTCTTTTTTTACTTAGCTCGTATCCTTTTGTGTCTTATCGATCTATAAATAGACTTTGCTCATTTACCGCAGCCAAAATGTCAACTTTAGATTAGTAAGCGTCGTTGATTTAGTTCCATGTTGTGGTTGCGGAGCCCTTTTGTGTTAATGGATTGATTACTTCCAGTATTCTAGTGAAGCTAGTTTTTTACCCTTTCAACGGTCATAAAACACTTACAATCGGATTGTCAGTTACATAGTTACTAAACCCTTACGACAGGAAGTATGATAGCCTCTTCAGTAAACACAAGAGGCTCGATTGGCCTACTATTTTGGGAAGCTAGAGGTTTTTTTTTCTTTCAAGAAACCTTTGCTTGCTACGTTTCGTCTGACTGTCGTTAGCAACTTGCAACAAGCATAGGTGTGGGGGGAGAGGGGAGGGTTGATTGCCAGTCGCTGCGCAACTGCCCGCGTGCGCTATAGACCCTCACCTCAAAGGCAGCGTGCGAATACTTTTTCTCGTCCCCCAAGCAGGATGAGTTAGTGCACGTCACTCGTAGGAAAACAAGACAGTTGAGTCATTCTGACGTTCGGAAGATGCGATCGCTAGAAGAAGCATTCTATTGGTCTGGCAGTCGCATGTGAGGGAGGTAGGGGCACAGGGCCGGCACGCTTACAAGCGGCTCCCGCCGCGCCAGCCACCTACGCTCTCTCTCTCTCGTCTTCAACCTTCTTGACTTAGTCATGCCACCGGGCTCAGATATAACGGAAGAGGAATGACTGCGGTAGCTTCAGCACAAATCTAATCTCACAGTAATATGATTCACGCGCAAGTCAGCGTGTGTGCCACCTTGCTGTGGTGCACTGGGTGGACCTTGCCGTCGAAACTGACGGTCAAACTGTTATTTATAGAACGCAGTCTTCATCGAACCACCTACCTACTATAGTTAACATCAGTGCGTTCAAAAAACTACGTCTTGACGAACCTTGCTCATTAGCAAAAGTACAGCCAACTTTAAAGGCTACGGGTTTTTTAGGTGGCATTCTTTGGGATTTCTAAAGCTTAGGTACTTATTTTACGTAAAAATGGGATTGTGTGGAAGTTGTTCGCCTATCATTTTGCTTCTTCTACAAACCTGCCACATCTGCCAGAAAAAAATTTCTCTGAAACATCTCCTAAACGTTCCTTTTCACGCGATATCTTATCGAACTTTCAAATATTTACTTCATACCTTAGTAACCTGACCTTGTAGTTTGTCTTTCAGCTTTTTTTTTACCATAATTTGCTCATGTCGTCATCATTATTTTCGAACATCCTATTCCCTCTTAACTACGGTATTGCAACGCATGATGTACTTGAAATTGCATGGGCCTGTCCAGCCATCCCCTTCCACAATTGACTGTCTTATTTTAGCTGTGAGTCATCCATATCAAATTTAAATTTCCCATACCTGTTTAATGAAAGATCCGTTTGTGTATGCTACAAATGATAGAGAAATCCATTTTCACCTCCTTCCTAGGCTTTACAAGACGGTCTTTCCAAGGTCAGCACCTTCCTTACCTCGGAGACATCAGAATACTCTGTACTGCTCAGGGACTGTTCAGCCAACGAAACGAGTGTTCTGCACGGCCTTGTCTGCATTTCTTCGATTCTCTGTGTCCTTGTGCAGATAATTAATCATCTTAAATCGGAACACCGATGCGGATTCGCTAGCCTTTGGGCTCAGCAAAACATCTTTGGGCAGCTTGGGTGAGTCAGAGTCCTCTTCCTCGACAACTTAACGACTGAGAGTGCGTTTTACTTCCAGAAAATTGTTTTTGCTTGTGTAACGCGTTTTCTTAGACAGACTTCATAAAACCGTCCTACCTCGATTATAAGGTCGTACAATAAATCGAAATTTAAATATGTCTCCTGTCCACCCCCGCTCTCCCCCCCTCATGTTAGCGAAAATAATTGAGATAGTCTATGCAAATGTGTTAGCGCTTGGCTTGTTTTTATAAATAACTAAGTATTTCTTGCATCTTATAACTCTTTGATTCTTTTCCTATAGAGAACTTTACCACAAGGTGTCCTGGGAAGCAATTCTCCTTCTGAAGACACTTTGCGATGAGATTAAGGACCACAATCAGCCTGGTCCATCGACAGCGGATCCAAATGAGACCTCTACAGGCACCCAGGCCTCTCAAAGCAAATCACCGTTCTCTATGCCTGCCTTTGTTGAGGCCCTTAGCGTCTATCGCATCTTAAAACCGTGTCTTCAGGTTAATCAGCCACCCAGTAAGTTGATCCTACGGAGCCGTACTGCTTCGCAAATGCGTGTTTAAGATACCATGAAAAAGCTTCCTATCACTTGTTATGTCCTCTGTTCTTTAAGAAACCAAGA